CTCACAGACTTTCCTACCTGAGCTGGTTGTGATGGCGATCCTCAGATCTCAGCCTCCTAAATAGCTAGGATTACAGACGTGATCACTGGTGTTCAGGCTTCCATCACTCCATAATCCTGATCCTGAGATGTTGGTCAAGTGGTAGAGCACCAGTGAAAAAGCCAAATGAGAGAATGAGCGTCTGACTTCAAGCCCTAGTACTGGCACAAGAGAGATAAAGATGGAGAGAGGGGGAAAGAGGGGGGAGGGGAGAGGGGAGAGAGAAGGGGGGAGGAGAGAGGAAAGAGAGGAGGAAAGAAGGAAGGGGAGAGGGAAGGGAGGGAGGGAGGGGGAGAGAGGGAAAAGGGGAGAAAGAGAGAGGGCTGGCTCTCTGAAGCCCTTTTATAAGGTCCCTAACCCCTATTCATGGTCTAATCACTTCCGAAGGCCTTACCTCCTCATTGGCTGGGGTATGTCTCAGTGCCAGAACATCTGCCTACCAAGCGTAAGTCTCTGGGTTCAATCCCCAGCATCCTCAAAATATATAGTGGAGGTTAGGATTTCAGCCTATTATTTGAGGACAGGGCTAAAAATTGAGTTCGCTTTTAGGTTAAGCCATTAACCTTTTTCTACTGTAATAGACACTCTCCCAAGTTCCAGCATTTTTCTATAAGATGCATCGTTTGTGATGGGCACAAGAACGCAGGCTGCATGAAGTAGGGACTTTCACGGGCTTGTTCACCGATGTGTCCTAGTGCACCAGTCAATGTGTGAGTGGCATATTAACAGGATGGGTAGATGAATGGAGAACAAATCAATGAACCCATCCACATCCCAACACTTGGTTCCCATCGACCACAGCATCTCCCTGGGAAGAACAGTTGGTCAGTGTGAGCAGCAGCAAGGACTCACTCCAAAGAATAATTTCTTTTGGCTTCCTGGTAGCTCAGAAAGATGCCAAGAACTATCAGGGTTTGAACTCAGAACCTTACACTTACTTGGCTGGCACTCTACCACTTGAGGCACACACTTCCAGCACAGCTTTTATTTTGTCAGTCATGTAGCTGGAACTCAGGGCCTGGGCATTCTTTCCTCAGCATTTTTGATCAAGACTAGCGCTCTTGGAGCCACAGCGCCACTTCCGCCTTTCTGGTGATAAATTGGAGATAAGAATCTCATGAACTTTACTGTCTGAGCTGGCTTCTGACCATGATCCTCAGATCTGTAGCCTGAGTAGCTGGTGTTACAGGCATGCCACTGGCACCTGGCCAACACAGCTTTTTGCTGCTTATTTTGGAGGTGGAATCTCTCTGACTTTTCTGCCCAAGGCTGGCCTGGTATCATGATCCTTTGGGTCTCTGCTCCCTGAGTAGCTAGCATTACAGGTGTGTGCCACTACACCTGGCAAGAATTTTTTTTTTCAACATATCCTCCAGTTTGAAGCCAGGCACCCAGTGGCACACACCTGCAATCCTACCAACTCAAGTAGCTGAGATCTGGGGATTGTGGTTTAAAGCCAGCCCTGGTGGGAAATTTGTGAGACTCTTATCTGCAATTAACCACCAGAAAACCACAAGTGGCACTGTGGCTCAAAGTGTTTAGAGCACTAGCTTTAAGCAAAAAGAGCTCAGGGACAGTGCCCAGGCCCTGAATTCAAGCTCCATGACTGACAAAAACAAAAAACAAACAACAACAACATCAACAACAAAAAAAAGTCCAGTGGCTTTCACGGGTCTTTAGTTTAAGCTAAACGGTCACATTTTAGGATGTCTGCATTCTGCTTCAACTTCATCCACTACTCAAAACTGAGATCTGGAAAGATCAATTATCTTGACAACAACCCAGCAAAAGAATGGCAACTAATTTTCTTTCAGGATAAGAAATGTAAGGGTTAGGGAAAAAGGCAAAAGACAAACCCTGTTCGACCAGCCCTCTCTTTTCAAATCCAGAGACATCCTATTTGTCCCAAGTCACAAAAACGAATTTGCAAGTATGATTCATTGAGAAACACTGCCTTGGGCAAGAGACTGGGAAGTAGTTCGAAAGGCACTTTAACATTTTATTTTAATTTGAACTCTAGACCTGACTAAGTGAAAAACCTTTCCACAGGCTGCATAAAATAGCTATCCTGTGCGGGGGTGGGGTGGTGGGGGGAGAAGGGTCTCAAGCCTGAAATCCTAGCCAATTTAAGGGATCACAGTTGAGGTCAGTCCCATCAAAAATGTTATTAGACCCCATCTCAACCAAAGGCTGGGTGTGGTGGTGCATATCTGCATTCTCAGCTAATGGGGAGGCACAATGGCTGGGCACAGTATCAGAACTTATCATCTCAAGTGAGTAGGGAAAGCACACATAGGAGGATCACAATCCAGACTGGCCTAGGTAAAAAGTAATCAGTTAAAAAATAACTGCAGCATGGTTCAAGCAGTGGCGTGCAGATGTCTCTTGGAAATACAGACTTCATTTCATTTTGATTGATGGCCAGTGGCATCTATTCCTTTTTTGGGGGGGAGGGGTCCGGTCATGGGCCTGAACTCTGGGCCTGGGCGCTGTCCCTCAGCTCTTCAGCTCAAGGCTAGCGCTCTACCACTTGAGCCACAGCGCCACTTCCGGATTTTTTTTTCTGCTTATGTGATGCTGAGGAATCGAACCTAGGGCCTCAGGCATGCAAGGCAAGCGCTCTACCACTGAGCCACCTTCCCAGCCCATCTATTCCTTTTTTTTGGTAGGCAGAGAATGTTTAATATTTCTGTACAGATTGAATGGAACACAGGTGGGAGTATGTCGGGCCCGTGCCTCCCAGGAGGGGGTCTTGTGCAAGGCTATGGGATTTGCTTTGGAGAGACCCAAGGAGTCTTCTCAGCCAAGGGCCTGGCAGGTGCTCAGTGCACCCCCCACACACTTAGTTCTTGGTTTGGGTTTGAGATTCCCCTTTAGAGGGTTGGTGAAGAGTCTCACATTTCCAGCTCTTTTACTAGAATCCACACCCCTAGCAGGATGGGGGACTGGGTCCTAAAAGAGCCTGGGAGCCCCTAGGAAGCAGCCCAGAGTCAGGAGCCAGGACTCTGTCTCCTCTCTCCTTTCCCCAGGCGGGGCAAGGGCATCGGGAAGGCGGAAAGTCAAGCAGGGCCCCCAGCGTCTGATGAGAAGGGGTGGAGGGAGAGGCTCTTGCCACTAACATACACTGTAAACTGGCTTAAAACAGTAACTTAAGTGGAGGGACCGGGGCTGGAGAGCGACAGAAGGTATTCAGAAGTTGACAAAGGAAAAAAGCCAACAAAAAGTTGTTTGTCCTACTTCTGAGTTTTTTGTGGTTTCCACAAAGGCCCTACAAAGTGGCATGCCCATCAACAGTGTGTGTGCAGGGGTTCCTTTTCCCCCACACCCTTGTCAACAGTATACAGCTTTGATTTGCCACTTATTTCTCAATGAGACCGTGTGTGTGTGTGTGTGTGTGTGTGTGTGTGTGTGTGTGTGTGTGTGAAGCTCAGGGCCAGTGTGCTTGTGGAGAAGCACAAGGCTCTAGAGTTTATGTTAAGGGCTTGCATGTACACACACTCCCTTACACACACACACACACACACACAGTGGGGACAGTGGCTCTCTCCTGGGGTGGTGGTGATGGTGATTGGAAGGAAGCCCAAGGGAGCTCTCGGGTGGCTGACAAGGGACTGGGAAAAAAAACAGCTGCTACCCTCTCGGAGTCCTCTGCTGCCACACACGGTGACACAGGTCACAGCTGAAATGCTGGGTTTCTTCTCCACCATGGAGAAGTCCTTGGGGAGCAGCACACACGCTGACCCTGGTGCTTTGCCAGGCTCGTGGACCTGCAGCCCTTGGGGACACCACACTCAGGACAGTTCTGTGGCCACAAGTGTGCGCCAAGGGTCTAACTTCATTCACAAGGAAACACTTCCTCCCAAGTGTTCCTCCCAAGTGTTGAGACCGAGATGCAAAAGGCAGAATCCTTGTCCTCAGAGAGGTGACAGCATAAAGAAGAACCAGGATGACCCAAGCAGGGCCAGACGAGGCACTCAAGGGAAGACTAAGGGAAGCAGCTAGGAAGAGAAAAAGGTTTTAAACACTAAGTGGTGGAAATTACTACCCCAAAGCAAGTATTCCCAGCTCTACTGGTGTTGCAGCCATCCAATGCCAGTATGTGTGTGTGTGTGTGTGTGTGTGTGTGTGTGTGCATGCACATGTGTGTTACGTGTGTGAACACTTTCCCCTTTGCTTTCTTGCTTTACCAAAATGAAAGGTCATTATCGCTAATTATAACTTCTAAAAAGGGCTTTCCTAGCTTACTGCAATAGTTCATGATCATCTACTTGTAAGAGCAGGCCTCTATCAATTTAATTACCTGTGCAGTGATTTCCTATTGGCTAACTGCTACATGCACCTTCACTCAGCTACCCAGATAATTAATTTGGATATATTTATGTTACAAAGCACTTTCTCTGGAAGATACATGTCTGTGGATCTGTGCTTGTCGTCTTGTGTGTGTGTGTGTGCATATCCATATATATATATATATAATCACATATTGACATACACATATATACATATGTATGCCTTTTTGCAGATATACACTATACTCTTGTGTACACATATATTATATACATAGTCTGTGTATACACATATATACATGCATATACTTTTATATACACACATATGTACATCTGTGCTTATGCACCACGCTCATATGTATACCTGAGCTTTTGTGTGTGTGTGTATGCATGTGCACCCAGGTGTGTGCACATGTCAACAGTCCTTGGGTGAAGCTGTACCAACAGCTCTTTTCATGAGTGCCAGGTTTAAGTACTGTACTCATTCTGAATATTATGAATTAAATTTTTTCCCCAGTCTTCGAGGTCAGGAATGGTGTTGAGCTCTTGTGTGTTTCTAAACTTCTGTTATTATAAGCTGAAGTTACCTAATCAAGTCTAGTCATGGGGATAGAGAAACATTCACTATTGAATGTTTTTCTTGCTAGAGAAACAATATGGAATAGTTCCACGTACCCAGAGCTGGTCATCCATGCCTGGAGGGTTCTTCTTGATAAAAGCACCATAGTATGTAGCGATGTTCCGGTGATGAGAATACTTCTTTAACATGTTAATTTCTTGCTTGATTTCTTCCTCTTCATCCTACAGTAGAACCATAAATAGGTTGCATGAAAACTCACTGTTATTAGAATCCTATTCTTTGAACATTCTCTGTACCAATTATACTAGAATAAGTTCTTCAGTATTTTTCTTCCATGGTGAGCATAATTATGAAATCTGACTAAACTGAAAAAGCTTCCTCCAATGGCATACTGGTAGCCTAGACAGCTCTTCCACTGGGATGGCCTACAGTAGATAATATGCCGTCTGCACAAGAGAATAAATTCATCCCTTCACCCGGAGGCGACCGAGCCAGTCAGCCTAGGAGATAAAATCCACATTAGGCCGCTAGGAACTCAGTGTATCAGACAGCCATCACAGATCATATCCACCGTAGGAAAGATTGAAGAAAGCCACAGGGAAAAACACGGGCTCTCCGATTTAAATTTTCACTAGGTTCATTTTCTTTGAAGTCTCCTTTTATTGAAGTGTCTGACTGAAGGTGATGAAAGTCAAGACAGAAAGGGAGTGGGAGAAGTTCTCTAGATCTGAGGAAGTTCACCAAGCAGGACTACCCACATCACCTTCAGGACACCATGCATGAAAAGAAAAGGGGAGATGTGGTGAGGACAGAGAGAGAGATGGCTCCCCTACCGAGTTACTTTCCTGATCTGCAGGCTGCATTCATTCTGAGTTTCAACTTGGAATCCACAGACTCAATCCTAGTATTGGCGGTGAGGGGTGTGGTCTCCCTGAATCTCATCCCATTTGTGGTACACACAGCTGGATGGTAAAATGGTGCTTGACTTTTGAGGCTGCTGCAAAAGTTCCTAGCTTGTGATCATTGTTTTAGAAGCAGCAGTGAGCAACATGACCGAGAGCAGGAAGACCATCCAGCTGTGTCCCCATCGGTCCCTCTGTACCCTTCAGCCACAGGGCCTCCTCCCAGGGGAATTGCATGAGTGGCCTTCAGCATTCTTCCAAGTGTGATGGTTTCTTTCATTCTCCTTTGGTTCATATCATTTCCACACGTCAGTGTGTGTGTGTGTGTGTGTGTGTGTGTGTGTGTGTGTGTGTGCACATGAGCATGCATGTGCATGCACGTGCAGGTGACCCAGTCCTGGGGCTTGAACTCAGGGACTAGTGCTGGCCCTTAGCTTTTTCACTCAAGGTTGATACTCTGCCATTTGTGCCATACTTCCATTTTCAGCTTTTTTTTTTCCTGGTTAATTGGCGATAAGAGTCTCATGGACTTTTTTGCCCAGGCTGGCTTTGAACCATGGTCTTCAGATCTCCTGCCTGTGTGTACCACTGTGCCTGACTCTACACATCATTTTTGGTTGGGTTTAACTGACACTCCCCAGAGATGCCTTGCTGCCATTCCCTCAAGGTCAAGTCCTCCCACTAAACCTTGCTGTGCGCCCCCCACTTTCCTTCATGCTTTCCACAGGTACTCATTCCAACTGCAGTGCCACCTGCCTCTCCTCTCCGTGGATCGCAAGCCGTCTTCTACTTCAGCTCTCACTTCTAGAGTCCTTTCCTGAACTGCCAAGCTCCCTAAGTCTGTCTGTCATGGTCATTTCCAGAACTGCCATCCACTAACAATCCATTGTCACCGTCAACACAAACACTAGGTTGTTCCCTAGAACAGTCTCAGTACCAAGCCAAGTGCCTGTGCATACAAGGAAGCAAGCCTGCCCAAGGCCCAACTTCCTAGAGCAATACTAGTGAGGTTAGAAGGATCAGCTAAGAACAGAAGGCAGAGTGCCCAGATGTGGACATTTCCTGGCCACACAAAAACAAAGTTAGTGGAAGGAAATGGAAATCTGCAAACTTAGGAGAACTAAAAACATGTTACATATCACGTGGTCTCACTCAACGGAAGACTAGGTGATCTCAAAATAGAACAGATGACTGGGATGCTGAACTAAGGATAAGGAGATGCACGTGATCTTCACCATAAGGACCAGCCAAAGGGCACGGGGCTGGGCTGGTGGCTGGGCTGGAGGATGGATAGCATACTGCTGACCAATGCCTTCTTCCTTGCCTGCTAGCTGGACATGCCTACACCAGTCCCCATTCTAGTCCTATGAAGAGAATGACTTTCACTGACCTTCACCTGGTTGAAAAGTCCCTGCTGCACACCTCAAATGCCATATCAGCATGCATAGGAGCTATTTTAAACCCTCTGTAAAGGAGAGTAGGATGAGTGGATGGAGTTTGAGGAAGCCTAAATAGGAGAAACCAACCCAACGGTTGCTACGGCCTACGATTTGCGGCTAGCTGCTTCAATGATAAAAGGCAAGGACAAGAAGTGATGGAGTACATGGCTCACTTTCCAACTGCAGCTGATAATCTTGCTTAGTGAGAAGGCAGTGATCTATTTGCTGTCTGCCTCTGAGTTTCTGATAGTTTGGTGCGGGATGTGCTTTAATAAAAGCTTAGCATATCATTATGAAAATGAGGGCTTAGGAAACAGTGAAGTAATAACATAATTCAGTATTGAACCATCTCTTCTGAAGTTCAAAATGAAGTCGGCATATTCTCCATCACTTGGCACAGTTAAACTGAGGCAGATATAACAATAAAAAAGCTTATCATTCACTGAGTTTGGAGTCAGAAAGATGAGGGAGGGCGGGTGGGGTGCATGCTGAGTTTGGAGTTCACCCCTTTTTGCTATAAGATTACAGGGAAGTCACCCACTTTTCTGAAACCTGAGTTTTTTTCGTGTAAGGAAATACATTAGGTGTCTCAGTTTCTGGGTTAGTTGAGGTATATGAAGCTTATAAGGTATATTCCCAAATAATAATTATTAATCTTCTCAACAAAGAAGATCAATAAGCAACAAAGCTAGGAGGGCAAGAGTGTTTAGTCCCCTTGAATTTTATGTTTCGGTTGCAGTTTTTTCAAACACTGTTATGGGACACTGGGTCATGGTTGTGTAGATCTAATATATACCCTTGATCTTGACCTTCAATGGTCTTGTAACTGAGCATGCAATTCCTCAATGCTTCAGGGCTACTGTTCATCCAGATTTGTCATCTAGGGTTCTGAGGACAGTAAGAGATTCAGTGAAATACAAATAAAGGCTCTAACGAACTACAAACAGCCCAGCCTCAGGTTATGGTCCAGGAAGGGAGATGAGTTACAGTGTTTTCAAAAACACAAATACAACCACTGTGACTGAACTAGAGGAAGCAGTTTTAGGAGAAGGGGAAACCTTTAGTTTGTAAATGAACTTATTGTTATATCTTAAGAATTAAGCACAGTGATCAAATCCATTGAGAGCCTAATGACTACTCAAAAATGAAGTATTAGGATCAAATTGTCTTAAACTTAAACAGAGACTAACTTAATAAGCCAAACCCAGTATTTTGGGAAGATCTATTATTTTTCCACCAGGAGACTCCAAAATCGAGTCTGATTCATTATGTTAACTTCAGGCATGACATTTAAACTCTGAATGTCAGACCTTTCCAGCTACCAAAGGGAATAAGAAATCTCCCTAAGCTACCTCTAAAGACTTAGGAATGATGAAGTGCTTAAATGTAATGTTAGTATAAAGATAAAGAAGATTTTTTTTTTGGCTGTAGGGTTTGAACTCACTCAGGGCTTGGGTACTGCCCCTGAGGTCTTCTGCTCAAAGCTAGGACTCTACTACTTTGAGCCACCGCTCCACTTCTGATTTTCTTGTAGTTAACCAGAGATTAGAGTCCTATGGACTGCCCAGGCTGGCTTTGAATTGTGAACCTCAGATCCTAGCCTCCTGAGTAGCTAGGATTACAGGCATGAGCCACCAGTGCCTGGCTAATTTTTTAAAATCTCAAGAACATGAGAATCTACTATTGTTAATATTTATGATAGACTGGGTTAAAATTGGCCATGATATCTTAGCTGTTCCCCAACAAAAAGTAGAGTTCATGATTCTTCTCCTATCAGTTGGACTTAGCCAGGTGACTTGTTTTGACCAATGGAACAATACCAAATGAATTTAACAGAATTTTGAAAAGCACGTATGCACTGGGGCTGGCCCTCTCCTCTCGCTGGAGGAGAACCCTTTTGCCATGTGAGAAACAGGGTGGCATCCCAGAAGATGAGAAACCATGCAGATACAATAGGTTCCAAATGCAAAGAAAGGACAGACTCCAGGCCATGCTTTCAAGCCAGTGATTGGGCAATGATGTATTCAGGACTGTGATCATTAAAGTCAGCCAAAAAAGGCAGGCTCTGGTGGCTCACACCTGTAATCCTAGCTACTCAAGTCCTGGAAACTCTTATCTCCAACTGACCAGCAAAAAGTTGGAAGCTGAGCTGTGGCTCAAGTGGTAAAGCACCAGGCTTGAACAAAAAAAGCTAAGGGATAGCACCCATGCCTTGAGTTCAGGCCCCAATCATAGCATAAAACAACAGGTCAGTCAAACCCAGTCTCATGAAATGTTCACTGTGTGCCGTGGGCTGTTTGCGCACAAACTTATGTAACACTAGAAGTGGCTCTATGAAAAGTGTTTTTGATGATGTAATTATACAAATGAAGGAGTCTCAGAAGGTCAAAGAACTCCCTCAGGTTCAAGTTTACTCATCTTCAACATTAGAGCTCAGTTTTGATCCCAGATTTGTCTGCCTTGCACGTGTACTAGTCCTAATTCTATTCAGAAAACTCCCAGACAGAAAGGCAATTACCTATGGGACTAAAACCAAAGTGTTTATCAAAAGAGTTTAGGAACATCTTAAGCCAGGGGTAAAGAAAATCCTGACTCTGATCCTTTAATTAAAAGAGCTTGTAAACGTACAATACTATTTGTTTATGACTGACTTTCAGGGATAAATATTTTTAAATTGTATATTTACTATGTAGTGCCATATATTTTACATGCCTAACGTATGCTAGGATTTAAAAATAGAATGAATGAGGTATTCAATATTATTTTCTGTAACCTACAGTTTGTTCCTCATTTAACATTCAATCTATGGTATAAGAACAAAACCATGTGACTCTTATGACAATCGAAGTACTGGGCAGAAGGAAGTCTGGAGGGAAAGAG